AAGTCATAACTCTTCAGCTAGAAAAGAAGAAGAAGCTAGAACATGTTTCTCACACACATTGAAAGAAAGAGAAAGAACAAAAGAAAAGGTTGTGCCTTTCTGGACCAGGGCTCAGGAAGGTGGGGGGACCCAGAGAACCTCATGTCAGCCTCTGGGGCTTTCCTCTGGGGATGGGAATCACAAATCTGTTCTTAATAAAAGGGTTGTCAGAAAAATATCCACAAAGTTGCTCAATATTGCAATGTTTACCACAGAAAATTTGGAAGCATAAAGACCCAACAACAGAGGAATGTTTAAATGAATGCAATGAAATACAACCATTAATATTGTTCTTGGAGAATTTCTTTAATGGTGTGAAATCCTTTTAACATAAAGTTAGGTGCAAGAAAGGATTGGAAGAACTACACAAACGGGGTGGTCCTAATCGTGTGATGTGTATGATTTACACAGAGGAGAAACATGCAACAGGTTACTGGAGAAATCAACAAAAATCCAGCAGAACTCTCCAGTCACTGGCGGCCTCCCTCAGACTTGAAAACATTGTGAGACTGTTGCCTTCCAAGAATGAACAAAATACATCTCAAAATTAACAACCAAGTACCGTGGGACCATATAGATGCTCACTTATAGTCTGGTAAGATGCAGATTTGGACATAATTTTAAAGGGTCACAGCCTTATACTGGGCCAGGCCTATGTGGATCCCCTAATTCAGATCTACCTACCTACCCAGCCAATGGGTGGCAATTCTGTTCTCCACCCAAGCCAGGCAAACCAGTTCATGAGAGCCTTCATCCTGAAGTCCCACCAGCAACAACACACCCTTCAGTCCGTAGCCTTCCCCCACCCCCATATTTCCAGGTCACATGGTTTGCAGAGGTTGTTAAGAAGTCTGCCCTGCTTCCAGCTAGGCATCAGTGCCTCACCCACTCAACACAGGCAAGACCTTCACTGGGGCTTCATTGTCTGCAGGGCAGAGCTTGGGCACTGCCGGCCTGAGTCATCCTGTGGCCTTGGACTTCCTGGTACAGAAGCCTTAACGCTGGGATCTTCCATCTAAGCAGCGTCCTCCTCCTAACCTATTTCCACCATGGCTTCTCAGTGGGACCTTCCTGAACCCCTCCCAACGTCAGCACACTCCTCTTTTTTCTGAAGAACAGCTTCCCTGATTTCCTGACCTTCACTTCCCTGGTAGTCAGCCTGGCTAGGACAGGCCTCTATGAGCAGATAAAAGACTCGGGGAAAAGTATCTAAAGGTTCCAAGGGATACTTGGAATATCCCAAGTCCAGACCATCTTATTCCCAGACCTTTCTAGAATCAAGCTTGACCCAGCAGGTAACTCGTCTCACCCCGTCACCCCAGTCACTGACCACTGTCTGTGCATGTTTGCAGGTCAGGTTCCCAGTGATTTGCAGCCAAATCCTTTAACCTGTCATCCAAGGCCCTTCCCTAGCTGGCCTGGATTCCTCATCTCCCAGCACCCCGACCCTTTCATGTTCTGTCACATCAGACTTCCCAGTCTCTCTAGGCCCACATTTGCCTCAAACCTTTTCTCTTTCATCCTCTCCTCTCCCCAGATTCACATCCTCCATTTCTGCTGGCCTGGCTTCCCGTGGAAAGTCTGTACACCTCACAACCACCCCTTGCTTTCAATATTGTTATTTAAAACACTGTCTTGAACTCAGGATTCTCCTAAATCAACCTACTGCATACTCTATGAAGGGTAGGAGCTGCTG